TTTTTTACTGTTTTTATTTTTTTTTCTTCAAATATATTTTCGGACCGAAAACGATCTGGATATATTTTGAGAATGGCGCCGGTTGGGAGACGAAACTTTCAAAAGTTACAAGCAAGTCCACCATATTCGAACCGAAAACGGTCTGGATATATTTTGAGAATGGCGCCGGTGGGGAGACGGAACTTTAAAAAGTTACAAGCAAGTCCACCATATTCGAATCGAAAACGGTCTGGATATATTTTGAAAATGACGCCGGTGGGGAGACGGAACTATAAAAAGTTACAAACAAGTCCACCATATTCGGACCGAAAACGGTCTGGATATATTTTGAGAATGACGCCGGTGGAGAGACGGAACTGTAAAAAGTTACAAGCAAGTCCACCATATTCGGACCGAAAACGGTCTGGATATAGTTTGAGAATGGCGCCCGTCGAGATATGGAACTTTTAAAAGTTGCAGGCAAGTCCAATATATTCATACCGGAAACGGTCTGGACATAGTTGCAAGTTTTAAAAGTTGCAGCTGGGTCCTCCATATCTGGACCGATCCCGGTCCGTATATATTTGCAATGCCTCTTTCCGCACAGTTACAGACCGTTGTCGGTTCGTACATATTTTATTATTTTATTATATTATTTTTTTGGGATCAATTTCGGTCCGCTTATTTCAATTTCTTAATAATCATTTATATTTCTTACTGAAATATCCGGACCGAAATCGGTCCGGATAGTAAATATATATGGACCGATTATGCGTCGGTCTGTATATTATACTTATTCGTATCAGGTTTTTTCAGATCAACTATAAGGACCAATATCGGTCCGTATATATATATATATATTCAGACCGATTTATAATATATCCGAACCGATATTTCGGTCTGAATATCCTATTCCTGCGGTAGTGATAGAGGTTTAGTTGAGTTGAAGCAGCATACCAGAGAACTTTAGAAGCATTAAGCCCAATGCACGAAGTCCAAAAAACACTGCATAGAGAAAAAATAGTACTGAACCATAATAGTTTTTCTCTTTTTCCCAAAGTGTTTCTTTGATAAGTTGCATTGAATGTAAATACCTTGCACTTTGATATTTTTCTCTTCATTCTGGTTTTGGCAAGTAACAGGAATTTGAACATCATTAGAGGAACTGATATCATTAGAAAAACTGTGTTTGTTTATCTTTATACCTTCAATAACAGTGGATAAATAAAATAAATTAACAATCCCAAACAAAGAAATTGAAAATTAATCAAATAGAAACTGGCGCTAATACTTACAATGATAAATTAAACGTTGCCAAAATCCAAGACCACTTCCACTAAAGAATGCAGACGGTTCATTGGACAATATTAGAATCGGAGTAAGGTTGCCATCGTCCTTGGTGACTGCCAAGCTTGGATATTTCTGAAGTAAATCCAATGAGATATCTGCTTTCTCAACACAAAAATATTTATTAGACAAAAACACACTGGCACGCTGATCATGTATCATACATGGCAAGAAAACCAATGAACTTGGGATGAATGAAGTTTTGCTAATTTTTACCGAACATTTGGCCGATTATGGTATAATTGAGGAGAGGAGGCCCATTTTTGCCATCATGTGGGCTTAATAATACTTCAGGGGTCTTGGAATACAGATACTTGGTCAAATCCTCATCGCCAGAAGCACATGCCCCTACAATGGGGATAAATCCTCGCTCATCGGTAAGAGTTGGTAACTTCGGATTCTTTTCAACCAAGCATTCTGCTATCTTCTTCCCACGACGAGCAGCAAGGTGAAGAGCCGTGGAACCAACTATATCTTGTATTTCCAAGTCTGTTTCTGACATTCTCTGGATCAATTCCTCAGCGATCTCTACAGCACCAGCTAAAACTGCAACATGAAGAGCAGTTTGATTGTCGTCATTAATTATCCTATTTATTCGATGTGAGCTCTCTAGAAAAATCCCATGTACGGTCTTCCAATCTGCTTTGTTGATTGCCCACTCCAACCGGCTGGCCGTTTGCCTTTCTGCTCCGCGGAGTGACACTGCAAGAGTTGTTCACTTCAAGAGTTGTTTAGCTTGTTATATTGCTATTTTAACATGGACTAGATCTTAAGCGCGCTGGTTCGTCTTTAATGTTTTTAAAGATTTAACTATAAATATATGTTAGACCACTCTTTTTCATAATTAGTGTTTTTTTTTTTTTCTCATGAGTCACATGGATTAGTTAAAATATATGTTTCTCTTTTAAAGTTAAAATAAAAATGCTAATATTTAGTGTGTAATCAATGCATTATATGGTAAAATAAAGCTCTCCTATTTATACATTAATATGAAATTCACCCTATATATGTTTTTTTTTTTTCAAGTAATTTATTATGTAATTTTTAAATAGTTAAACACATACCTTAATTCATGCATAAGGTAATGTTTTATATAACATATAGATATAGACATAAATAGATATATAGATAGAAATAGATATAGATTAGTAATTTTAAATGTATTAATTAAAAAAAAAGATTTAAATGGTAGATAAGAAAAAAGATTTAAGCGCAAAAATTTAATCAATTTAATTTTTTTAAAAAAAATAAATTTTCATAATTTATATCTTTTATGAAGCATCTTCAATTTTCTAGTTTGTTTCATCATTTTATACTTTTGTTATTATTGTGCATTTTAATTCAAATTTAACTTAAACGTATACATCTCTCTTTTCTTTTCTTTTTTTTTTTCTTAAACTCATTTTTTCACATTATTTTAGACTTTCATTACTTTTTTGCAATTTTTTCCTCTTTACTCTCTCATATTATCATCTTCATTTAATTATCATTATGTCTTTATTTTACCCTAATTTTTCTCGTTCTTCCATTGTCTATATTAGAAATGTTTTTGGTCAAAACATAATTCTCTATCTCTCACCTTCTCACTGAACATTTTATCTATATATATAGAGAGAGAGAAAGAGAGAGAAAGGATCTACTTACATACAAATCTTATACCACGTTTATATAAAATTTTAACTATTTATCTCTCCACATTTATTAAAAAATAATTATTTTTTTATCTAAAAAATCATGATAAATCTCAATTATTGAAAGTAAAAAGATGAATTATCAAGATTGTATATAACTGTGATATGTCAAATTTATATGTAAATTGATCCCTCGTCATATAGACACACACATATATATCTTTCTACCTTACATTCACCCTCTCTTTACCTCTATAAATTAGTGATTTATTTTTTTATTATTCGTTCTCCACTTATTATCCTCTCTCTATTGTTCTTCCTTAATCATTACAAGCATCATTATCCATCAGTATTTATCAATTTGTTTTTATCCCAATTTTCTGTCTAACTATATGTATTAAAAACTTATAAAGTTAAAACATAAAAGACACAAATTATTACTATCGTCTTTTGGTACCTTTTCACTTATATTTACTTCATCTCTCATTAGTTTTTCCTTGTAATTCTCTCTTAATTCCCTAATCGTAAGTTATCATTATATTTACCTTTATATTTTACATTTGTCATCTTTTTCCCTCTATATTAGTAACTCCCACTTTTTATTAATATTTTATTATTTTTAATTTTTCTCCCATTATCATTACATTGTTATTATTATTTGGTTACACCCCTAATTTGACCCCTCAACTATTGTACAGACCTCCGATTTAGTTCTTGAACTAAAAAAATCCCTATTTTGGTCCCTACTGCTTATTAATTTAATCCCAAGTTAGTCCTTCTGTTAAAAAATAATTGACGTATCCATTATTTAACGGCAAAAAATTGTTACTTAACGATCGCATGTCACATTAATAATGAAACACGTCATTAGTTTTTGTATGAAAGAACCAACTTAAAACTAAATTGATAAACATTAGAAACCAAATTAAGGATTTTTTTAGTTTAAAGACCAAATTGGGGGTTCATACAATAATTCAGAGACCAAATTGTGAATTTAACCTTATTATTTCTTAACATTCCCTTGCATCTCAATGTATCATTATTTATGTCTTTTACCCCAATTTTTTTTCTTTCCACCGCTCTATATTAGAAATGTTTTAAGTCAAAATATAAAAGACATAGCTTCTTAACATTATTATCATGATACATTTTCTCCTTGTATTTTATCATTATATATGTCTTGTTACCTTATTCTTGCATTCACTTTCTCTCTCCATATTAGTAATTTATATGTTATTATTCTTCTATCCCCTTTATCTCTCCTTCTATTTTTTTTATCAGTACAATCTTTCTTTCTATATTATTCATTTTTCCCCACCAATTATAACTTTATTTATCATTATATATCTCTTTTTACCCTAATTTCCTTCTATCTCCCACTATATATTAAAAATGTTTTAAGTTAAAATATAAATAGCATGACTTTTTAACATTATTTTCTAATTTTTTTTCACTTACCTCTATTCCTCAAGGATTGCAGTACTCTTTTAGAAGTTGTCTTCAACCACTGTTATCAAAATCCTCCTTTTAGTTCTTTTTTTCTATTGTTCTCTTTTTCTGATTTGAGAAATCTAGTATTAATATATAGCCTAACAAAAGTTTTAACAAAACTTCAATACAAAATGTACCAACTTTTCTTATAATACTTGATGGCTTGATTTCTTGTACATAATATGA